AAATTCTCCAAGCCCTTCTTCTTTGCGTCCTAGAAAATTTTCAATGCTACGTATAAGTGTCCTTTTCGTTTCTATTTTCTTTAAAACTTACATGCTACTCACATGTTCGGTTCAGGAAATTCTCAACATCCTTATGTAGAATCACATTTCTGTTGCATCAAGTTTCTTCTTCATCTGTTTGGTGATAGTCCAGCATTCATTGCCATATAGGAAAACCGCTATTACATCAGAGTTCAGCATTTTTTTTTTGTTTGTTTTTTAATGAACTTTTTTCCTGATTCTTAATACTCTGGTATCTCCAATTCATAATTCACATTTTAGGCTGTTCCTCTTGTTGACAACCATACATTATGTCTTCGTACAATTGATAGTTAGTCTTTTCTTCTCACTTTCCCTTACTGTCTTTTGTAGGAGTTCTTGTAGTTTATTTTCCGTGTCTGCTTAAAATTCACTTATATTTCTGCACTTAAATATAGGAAAATTCAAACGTATTTAAGTTTCTACGCACCGACTTGACAATTACTGTAATACAAATTGTTTATATTTCTACAGTTATAGTCATGAAAATTCAGATCCAAATTAATTTATGTTTCTGTATGCAAACGAGACAAGTTGTAAAAAAAAATCATTTATTTTTTAGAATCTAAACATGAAGTCAATTGAGATAGCCATTTCTATGCTATCATCTATTCAAATAAGAGGCAAATTGTGATTTAAATTTCATTTATTTTCCAGCGTCTGAACTTGAAGGAAATTTTGATAAAATTTAATTTATTTTTCATCCTCGGTTGATGAATATCGTAATGTTTTTCTGCATCTATATTTGTAGAAAATTCGAGTAGAAATCCATTTATTTTTAATTTATTTTGTGATAGAAATTTATCTAATTCCTATAACCAGACTGGATGTAATTTTTAATAATTTTGTATCTATATCTGAAATGAATTGAAATAAAAATCCATTTTTATTTCAGCATCCACACTTTAGAGTATTTGTGGTACGGATTCATTTATTTTCTTGATTCACGTGTGATATTAATTCATTCTTTTTTTTCTGCATCTACTTTTGAGGCAAATTGTGATAAAAATATATTTTTCGCGTTTATATTTGTGGCAAATTCGTACGGATTCAATTACTTTTCTACATTACAGACGAAGCAAATTTTTATACACATCCATTTTATCAATTTTCCACAGAAAGTGGTGATGACATCATGTATATTTCTGCATTTATAGCAAATTTGGAATACATTTTTTTTATTCATTTTCTCTTTTGTGTGTTTGTTTTAAAGCTCTCTAACTTACGACTTTCTTTGGGCGTCTGTTGTCATTTGAAATGTTTCTCTAATAAAACATGAATATTCCGTCTTATACGTGACATATTCTTGCGATTGCCTGATGCTTGTGACGAAATTGAGACTCTAATTTAACCCTGATTCCCCAAAGACACTCATCTGTCGATTGACGATATTGCCAACTACTCTTCCCGAAACGTGGTGGACCATGTTTCTACTCCTACTCTACTCTTTCATTTGTTCTAGTTTCAGAATTTGGCAAGCCTTGAACCTATGATTTATCCAGATCTTCTTGGATTCTCTGTTTGTTTGAGTCCAGTGTTATTCTGCTAAAGAACATCCTTACCTGTTTGGAGAGTTTGTGTTCAAGCTAATGTTTCTTCCAACAGTTGTGGAAAATCTTTTCCTTCACGAGAGGGTACCCTGGTCTTTTTTGTTATTTTTTGTGCTCTCCTGGAACTGACTGATGTCTTCATTGATAAGCATGGTGAAAATAGCTTTAGGTCCCTTAGGAAATGTTAGGTGGTTTGACAACTATGCTGATTTCTTATGGAGTTTTTCTGGACACTTTCCTTTCTGCTGCTTCACATCGGGTTCGTACCAGTTTGATAAATTTGGCCTGAATTTCTGCAAGTTTTATTTATGGAAAGAAGGCCAGAGGGCATAAAAAACTTTGTGATAATATCAACAAAGATGAAGACATTATTCTGAATGTAAATAATGGTAGCTTCTCATGCCAGAAATTCAGACAGAAAGAACTTAATTGGTTTCTTTATCTTTTGTTGTTTCCTCTATCCACATGCTTTCGCATCCATACTTTATCGCCCTTCATCAGGCGAAGATAACATTTGCTAACCTTCTGCCCTTATTGAAAACGATACATCTACATTATTAAAAAGGCACCTTAAATATCTACATGTCGTAATTGCCTCTTTTATTATGGTATGTAATAGCACTAGTCAAGCGGAAATCTTTACAGTTATATCACTTCTGTGACTTCAAAGTTCGTAGCAAGCTACTTCATACTTTCTCCATAATTCCAGTAGTCGGAGCCTAATCCAATGTTCCTGACATCATAAGTTTTTAAAATATTATCTAGTTATATATGCAATGTTATCGATGATGGGATTACCCAGCATTCACTGGCATATTGGACTGTCGGTATTATCTAATAGTTCAGTACTCTGTTATTTGTTTCCAATGAAATTTTCATGATTCTTAATACTTTTCTTAACTTTTCAAAGGCATCTTTCGCTATCCCAATTCACCTTCGGATTTTGGTGTCGCATTTTCCATCATTGTGTTAGAAATACGCAACTATCTCGGACACCAGGTAGGCTATATGTTAAACAGATACTGAAGCGCTGAATTGGCACAGGAAAAAAAATGGAATTTAAAATATTAAAAAAAAAAAAACAGTTCCCGTAGTTTAAAAAAAACAAACTGTTATGGTGACCTATTAGAATTAACTCTTCTTCTTTCATAAATACTAACCTGCGAGACTTCCTAAGGCAGGCAGTTGGGACGCAGTGTAACCTGACAGTTTGGACAGACACTTCTATCTGCTGACTAATAACACTCTTATTTTGTATATATATTCTGTTATTTCAATACATTTGTTCAACCTACCTTCTTCTTTCCGTCTCTTTCTTACTGGCCTCTAACAGGCCACAACACAAACTTGCCACGTTCATTTTTTCTCTCATATCTAACAATTTAGACCAAATACACCAATCATATTTTGACATGCATAAAGTGTCCGCATAAAACTGGTACAATTGATATATTGTTTAGTTAGGTATCAAAAACATTATTCTTATTGGCCTAATACATGGGAGGGGTCTTAATAATCGAGCCGGGAAGGGTTGGAATTTGTTCTCGATATTCAATAAACGTAGGAAAATCATATAACGAAGCAAAAAATACAAAATCATTAAACGGGGTGGTACAAAAATCAATAAACGGGTGGAATAAAAAGCTTGTCGGAAAATTCTCTCAAAATAAATAGATAAAAATAAATCAAGAAACATCTCCACCCCAATTTGTTTATTACACATTTAAAAGTACAGCGGGTAGCAATAATCACAGACGTTTTTATAAAAAAAATTTAAAAACACATTGCAATAATTTAAATACCTTTTTTAATTTTGGGATTTTGGTGTTACTGACAAGAAAATAGGATGAAATCATTCGCAAAAAAAGAAAAAAATAATAAAAAGAACTAATTTTGCTTACATAAAGAAGATTTATACTGTTTCCCTCGTAAATTTCTGTCATCAAAAATTTACTTCGCTCATGAGTTATATCTACTAAGAGAAAAAAAATTAAATTCTGTAATATTTTTTTGAGCCGACTGCTTACACACACACGCGCGTGCGCGCACACACGCACACACGCACGCATACACACGCGCGCGAGAGACTGCAGTCGGGATTATAGAGTAATTGTAATCACCACGCTACTTTCATGAACTGCCAGGGCTACATACGGTTTTGAATGAGAAAATGCCGACAAAAAGGACACTCATACTTAACATCATATATATATACATATTATCATTACACAGTATATACATATGCACATATGTACACATTATATATATATATATATATATATATATATATATATATATATATATGTGTGTATATATATATATATATATATATATATCTTATATACACATTATATACTCATTATATACATTATATATTTATTATATATTTATATATAATATCATATATTAAAAAATTCTTTATTCTACATTCAACATCATAAGTTGATAAGACTCCATAAGTATTGAAACAAAATGGCTATTTTAGTGATTTTATAACATGTTTATGTTATAATTTTGGAATAAATAATATTATATATATAATATATTATATATATTATATCATATATATAATATAATATTATATATTATATATTTATATACATTATATATACATTATATATACATTATATACACATTATATACACATTATATACATATATATATATAGCTTATATATACATTATATACACATTATATACACATTATATACATATATATATATAGCTTATATATACATTATATACATATATATATAGCTTATATACACATTATATACACATTATATACATATACATATCCTATTATACAACTTATACATAACATCAGGAAGTTGCAGTTGAAATTTCTAAGGTACATAAGTGAGGAAACAGTTTGGAAAATTTGATACTCACAAGGCAGAATGAAGGCAAGAGGGACAGAGGAAAACAGCGCATAATCTACCTAGCAAGCTTGTGCAAATGGTTGGCAGAACAAGGTTTAAGAGAGTAAGAAGACAAAATTTACAACATTTACCAAAAGCTACAAGGGACATGAACTTGTGAAGAGCCATGATTGCCAACGTCTGGAAGAAATATGTCACAACAAAGAAGAAGTATATTAATTATCAACACAATTTAAAAGTCAAGCGGATATTGAGTCAGATTTTTTACCGATATGTGATGAAATGTTTAAATTTACGAGCACCGCATGAGACAGTTGAAATATGGATAGCTGAAAAAGACATAATATGTTATTAGTTCACAATGACAAAATTATATTCATAATGGTGAAAAACCATCATAGGGCAGGAAACTGTTTGAAATCAATTATTGTACATACTTTGTTGTTTCAGTTATTTCATATTTAACCGAAATTCTATTTTATTTTTTTCAG